GGAATCTTATGAAAGAAATGGGAAATAGTAAGACCTGGAGAGGACAGGCGCTCCACAAGGAGAGCAACAGAACCAAAAAAAATCTGGGCACAGGGGTCTTTTCTGAGACTGATACTCCAACCAAGGACCATTCATGGAGATAACCTAGAACCCTTGCACAGAGGTAGCCCATGGCAGTTCAGTGTCCAAGTGGGTTCCATAGTAATGGGAATAGGGACTGTCTCTGACATGAACTGATTGGCCTGCTCTTTGATCACCTCCCCTCTGAGGGGAGGGGAGTAGCCTTACCAGGACACAGAGGAAGAGAATGAAGCTAGTCCTGATGAGACCTGATAGACTAGGATCAGAAGGAAGGGGAGGAAGATCTCCCATATCAGTGGTTTGGGGGAAGGGCATGGGTAGAGAAGGAGGAGAGAAGGAAAGATTGGGAGGGGAGGAGGGAGGAAGCTACAGGGGGCATACAAAGTGAATAAATTCTAATTAATAAAAGTAAGAATTAAAAAAGTGCCATAAGGTGGGTATGGTGGCTATAATCCTCTAGTCCCAGTACTCAGGTGGCTGAGCAGCAAGAATCACTGAAGTCTAGGCCAGCCTAAACTATATTACAAGTCCTATCTTCAAAAATCAAGAAACAGATAAAGAACTAATTTTGCTTGTTGATTAAACTACATCTGCTATCATCTAAACCCCAAGCATCTAAGCATGCTTGTGAAAGATGTTCTTGACTCGATCCTTTGAGGTCCGAAGACCACACCTTCAGGTGGCAGCTCATATAAAGGACATGGAAGAAGGAAACTCCTGCTTTTTGTCTTCTTGCCCTCATTCTTGCTGGCAAGTTCATCTATCATGTTGCTGAGGCACGCCTTTCCTGGCCTACTTCTTCAGGACTCCAGTGTGGACTGAGACCAGCTAAGACATCCAGCCTCATGGACTGAGCAGCTACTGGACTCTTGAACTTTCCATTAGGAGACAGTCACAATTGGACTAGCTTGATCACAGCCTGTAAGCCACTCTAATAAATAACTCCTTTTAACATACATACATTTGTTCTATCTTTCTATTCTTTTAGAGAACCATGACTAATATAGAACTCTTACAACTTCATAACAAGAACATAAATGCCACTTTTCTCTGCTAGCAGCTGCTAGACAGTGTTTTCTGGACATGGCAGGGAAGCTGCAACCATGAAATCTCAACAATATGGCTGCCTAACCAAATCCTACATAATTCGAATACCACTTAACATGCCAGCATAGGGAAGAGAAATTTCACGGCCCCAGCTCTAGATGAAGACCTACAGGCAACTAAAGGCTACTGGGGGAGAGAAGCAGTTTTCTCTGGGGATGAGCCCCATGATGGGTCAGCCCTCAGCACATGTACATATAAGCCATACTAAATGGACTTAGCAGGGTGTGTGTGGGGATGGTTACTATGGAATCAGTCTAGGACTTCACTTGATCCTCAGAAGTGTTTACGACACATGACACAAGAAAAGTGACAATGTGTTACATTGCTTTCAGTAAAGTTAAATGTTTAATCTATGTTTTATATCAGCTATTATATAGTCATAATTAGAAGATCTTTCAAATGATATAATTAATAAAATTATTGAGAGGCAATATCTTTAAATGTATAATGTTACATAATTTATTATTTTAGGTTTAATATTTTACAACTGAAGGCCAATTCACCTTGAGATACTGAATATGACCCAGCAATAGTGACCAAGTACAGCGAATGATGATAAGAATGTTCCTTAATGGTGCCTAAACTTTATTTACTCGAGTGATTATATGTCAGGCAAAGTTTCTAATATACTATACTGACCTGAGACAAAATTAATTTTGCAGTGCAAAATAACAGGGTGAGGGTGTAACTCAGTGGTAGGGTGTTTGCTTAGCACTTGTAAAGCTCTGGGTTCAATCTCCACCATCACACACACACACACACACACACACACACACACACACACACACACACTCACACACACGAGGTGTGGCATGAAATCAAAAGATGTATAATTGGAAGGCAGCAAGAATACTGAGGTGCATTGAATCAAATAATATTGTGCTTTTGTTTTTTTAATAATTAGTATGTTACAGTTTAAAAAACCATTTATTTATTCTGTGTGTCTAACTGTCTATGGATGTAGACGTGTACATGCCTTGGCTTATATGTGGAGCTCAGAGAGCAAATTGTGTGGGTTGGTTCTCTTCTTCTATCATGTGGGTTCTAGGAATCAAACTTAAGTCATCAGACTTGCTGCAAGTGCTTTTAATCTGCTGAGCCATCTTGCCAATTCCAGGAAAGTTTTCTCAAGAAAAAAAAAATTACTAAAAAAAAATTTGGGAGGCACTTTTAAAAAAGATGGTATCCTGGGTTGGGGGTATAAATTAGTAGTAAAGTACTTGTTTAACATGCCCAAATGCTGAGCTTAATCCCAACAAAAATATACATACATAAAAATTTGTATGCTTTCATTTTTAAAATTATTTTTAAAGTATGTGTAAAGAGATATATATGGAGAGAGCACACAAATAGGAGATATAAGAAGACAGTGTCAGATCACCTGGAACTATAGTTAGGCAGTTGTGAGCCACCTGACACGAGTGTTGGAAAATGAACTCAGATTCTCTGCAACAGGAGTGGATGCTCTTAACTGCTGAGCCATCTCTCCCACCCCTGCTTTCATCTTTCAATATTCCTTTCATCAATATTGTTTCCAACCTCTTGTGGAGTACCTATAGGGATATCCTATTATTAATTAATGCTGGGGATTCCATGGTTCACTTTGGACTTCTTCAGTTTTGGTGTCTTTGTGAATTTGCAAGATGTTCATAATGCATGCTGTCTATGAATTAATTAATTATCCCTATTATATAGGGATAACCTATTAGCATTCATGATTTCAGATTAACATTGAATCACCCCTGTACAACTGAATCACTATTAAATTGCTAGGTGCTTCCATATGGATTGATATACAGGAACACACTAGGAATCTATGTGTGAATGATAAAATTAATACAAATTCCTATATGGATTTATTAGCTCAAATCAATCACCATGAATATCATACCAACGAACAGCACCTGAGCTTCCTTTTTAAACATGATTTGGTTGATATTAAAAATGTCTAAATATATCCTGAGTTATACTAACATTAAATGAATAATAACTTCATAAGTTATAAAGGCTAGACATTTTAAATGAAGTCCTCTTAGTTGGCACGAGCTAAAAGACTCAGCATGGTGGATTATTTCTTACTTGAAGAGGACATTTCTTACTGGAAGCCTAGCAGAGGAAAGCCTCAGGAGTGGCAAGGTGTGCAGATGTGGTTGTGTATGACATCAAGACAGCGCTGGAGGAAGAGAAACATCCCAGCGTTAGAAGAGCTCTTGGAGAGAAGGGAGTAGGAGGTATTATGGACCTCTGGCTCTCGGCCATGTGATAAGTTCTGCTACCTGGTGCACACTGGTAGTAAGCCTTGACGCATGCCTAGCCTGCTGCTGCTGTGCAGCCGAGTGCTGTTTTTTTAAACTTCCATGTTAGTGTTTGTCCGGCAGCTGTTTGTCTTCAGGAGATAGGAATAATAAGAATTCCAGGTAGCATTTCCCTTTTTTACTTTCTGCCTAATTTCCTTTTCAATCTCTCTGAATATAAATGAGTCACCACAAAAGGATTTCCTCCAAAGACTGAGGGATCACCAAACATGAGCATGTGTTTGCGCATTCAGATTACCAACCATCATTGAGGAAAAGATTCTGGTTACGCTGTGAAACTCAAACTAATGACAGACAGAGGATGCTGGGGTTTCCATGGTTCATCTTGGGCTTCTTCAGTTTTCATGTCTTCATGAATTTGCAAGATGTTCTTTTAATGCATGAGGTCTATGAATTATTGCTTATAGAGTTGAGTTTAGAACAAGATCAAACTAAGGTTCACACAAAACTGTTTAACAGTCAAGCCTGAAGCCAAGTTCTGTAAACTGAAAATTTATGGTAGAAATGGTAGTGAAACACACCACCATAAAAATAAGCAAAGTTTGGGTCCTGCTGTAGGTCTGCAGCACTGTGAACATTTTACAAAGGGCCCTACATGATCCCTAAGCATCTGCTAGCCTTTCTACATTAAACAAGGGCTCCGAGGGGCTTAAAGTGGTAAAGAGCACTTGTCTTCACAGAGAATCTGGGTTTGATTCCCAGCACTCATATTGAGGCCCACAACTGTTCATAACTCCATTTCCAGGTAATTCAATACCGTCTTTATGACCTCCATGGGTACAGACACACAAGTAGTACACAGACATACATGCAAGCAAAACACTCAAACACAGAAAATACAATAAAAAAATACAATAAAATGACTCTTTAAAAAAGGTGGGAGGGGAAGAGGAAAGTGACGGATAAGAACTGAGGGCTATACAGACACTGAACTGCTGTAATGGGACTATAACATTTGATCAGTATCTAGGATGTAAAAACCTGGTAGTTAGGAAATACCAAAAGGCATCCTCCAATGTGTGACTAGTCCTGGTCACTGTTTCTAAGCGTGAATGAATGTCAAGCACCTATGAAGACTTGATAGACAGGCTAGTTTTTCTTGGTTAACCCTCTGAATTCACCCCCATCCCAGCTCCACACCCCTTCTCTAATCCTCCCTTTCCCCTTACCTCCAAGAGAACCACAGTGGGAGTATGGTTTCTAAATAAGTTGGGCTGAAGAGATGGCCCAGCGGGTACTGGTGCTTGCTGCCAAGCCTGATGACCTCAGTTTAATCCTTGAAACTCGCATGGTGGAAGGACAGAACTGACCCTTCAAGTTGTCCTCTGACCTCCAAATGTCATGCAGTGACCCCCCCACACCCAATAAATAAATGTAATAAAATTATTTAAAAATAAATTTATGTGTTGACTAAAAAAAAAAAAAAATAAATCTGGAAACAGTAAGCTAAGAAGGGGGTAGGAAGTAAGACATAAAACTGGATTTGCAAAAACTCACCATCAGAGGGCACAACCGTACTGCAATATGCAACTCCCAAGCTCTGCCAGGAAGCCGGCCTCTGGTGTGCCTACAAGACAAAAGCCAGGTAAACTGTCAGAGCAGACCAATTTGAGACGCATGTGCCCCAAATAACTCTAGCTCTTCAGTGAGTCAGTTCAGTACAATAGTTTTCTTCATTGAAAAGTTGAAAATACAAATAAAAGGAACCACTAAAAGGGATTGGTGTGTTTCAACATTACAAACCAATACATCTTCATACCTACAGATAGGTACAGTCTCCTGTTAAACAAAATGAGAATTGTGCCTGACAAATCAATCTTGTTAAGCACTATCCACTGTAACTTTCCCTGCCTCTCCCCACCCACTTCTTAGACCTTAGATCGGCGTCTCTTCCTTCTATTGCATCAATTATAAAAACGAGATGCCCCATGCATTTCCAGTATCTGAGTAGGCTCTGGCTCTTGCTGTTTACTTTCCTTAATAAAAACATGGGCAGGCAACTTCAGTGCTTGAGCCCAGAGCATGAGAAGGAAATCAGTCACACACTTTTTGCTGCATCTTTAAAAGGCAGTGCTACAGCTGGGAGTCCAGGACTAAAGTTCTCGGAATTAAACTAGGCTTCAAGAAGAACAGTGAATACGTTTTTAACTAAGTTCTTCCTTTGTGCCTTTCCCAGGCTCCAAAAGTATGACAGGAAGAAGACAGGAAGGTAGTAAATAACTGAAACCCAGGCCAAGACAATGGACTCTGAGACAATACATGCCTTAACTCAACTATAACAGAGCACACACAAATCTCTAACTCCTTAGCTGCTTCCTTCCAGCTAAGACAGTAGAAAATGTAAGGCTAACTGTGGTGGTTAAAATGAGAATGGTCCCAACAGGCTCTTCTGTTTGAATGTTTTGTCTGTCCCTAGTTGGTAGAGCTGTTTGTGAAGGATTAGGAGGTGTGCCCTTGTTGGAGGAAGTGTGTCACTGGAGGTGAGCTTTGAGGTTTCAAAAGCCCAAGCCAGGCCCAGTGTCTCTGTGTCTGCTGCTTGTGGATCAGATGAAAATTCCAGCTACTTTCCAGCTCCATGCATGCCTTTCTGCATACCACCATGCTTCCCTGTTTTCTGACATGATGATCAAGAACTAACTCTGAGTTCTGAAAGCAAGCCCCAATGAAATGCTTTCTTTTGTAAGCTCCTTAGTCCTAGTGTCTCTTCAGAATCATACCACAGTACCCAGGACACTAACATTTAGAAAAATGTAAATAATCATTGAAATCGCTGGAGAGAAAGTTTACAGGTTGTTCTGTCTTTTGAGTTTAAAATCTTGATTCATAGGAGTTAATTTCAGTCAAGTTTAAGAAAGAAACACAGCTAATCTCTCTTCCACAACAGCACACTTGTCCAATGCAGCAAACAATCCATCCTCACCTTACCTCAGATTGTAGCCTCATTATTTCCAAATCCTTATATGAACTCAAATCTATTTCTGAACCTTTACTCTGTCTGATGATCTGTCTGCTCACACCCTGATAACCATGATGGTTCCACATTCCAGTTTTATGATAAATTTTAGTATCTGATATGGTTAGCTACCATGAGAAATTAATAATATACACAAAGCATTTAGAAAAGTACCTGATATGGCTTCAGTAAATGTTAAGCATTTTGTTTTTAGACCAAGTTAATTCCATGGGTTAGTGTAGGGAAAACAACCATCCATATGATTTCAAGTCCTTGTATTCAAGGAGCTTTATGTTTTGAGACAGAGACTCACTATGTAACCCTGGATGGCCTAATTCACTGTATAGATCAGGCTAACCTTAAACTCATAGAGAGCTACTTGCCTCTGAAATTAGAGGAGTGTGCTATATACCTGTTGTACCCAGGAATATAGCTCTCCTTCTGAATCTTCATCGGCGTACTAAGAAGCATTTTACAGACTTCTCACAGATCTTGCATTGGTCCTCATGAATGCTTTCCAGGCAGTATCTGATGTTAAACTCATCAGCCTGAGCTGTTTTAGTTTGAGTACACCTGCTATGTGTCTACTGGCCCTTTATTTTACTATCCTTTTTGAGTTACCCTGTTTTGATCTTTGTGATCAAATCTTGGAATTGTTCATTAGGAAAGTCTAACCTGCTTACATTTATTTATAGGTATATAAACCATATATTTAACTTTTCCACTATGGAATTTTTGAGTTTTGTGTTTGTTTTATTTTTTTCTCTTTGTCAATATGGAAGATTAAATCCAGGGCCTCAGTCATGATAGGCAAGCATTCTCACTGAATTTTGTACATGTTCTGATCACTGCTTTCTTCTTTAAATAGTTTACTGAGTAAACTAAAGCACGGTGATGCACACTTTCTGTCCCAGCACCCAGAAAATGTAGGCAGGAGAATCAAAAACTCCAGTTTATTGTGTTGGTTTTCATGACTACGTGGCTGCCTCAGCTCTTCGAATGTCACTATTGCTGGGTAAAGTCTACTCTGGCCCCTCATGTAAAATATTGATCCAGCATTTGCCAATCCTGATCGCCTTCAAGTATATGCTGCTAGCCAACACACTTAACTTTTCCCTGATTTTGCCAGGTCCAATTCTTTTTAATAAATTATTTATTTAGTATTGCTGTATTCTCTAACCCATGGGACAAGAGCTTTTGGTTTAGTCACTGTTAGTGCTTGTGAAATACAAGTCCTAATCAAATAAATGCTAAGTAAATGTTAATGAGATTATATCTTGTAGAAAATATAATTTATGTTAAATCAAAAATCTTCCTTGATTATGAGCACTGAGGCTTTTTATGTCCTTTGCCCATTCATTTTTAGTTCAGGTGTCAATCATCTACCTGCCCTCCAACTTATCTCAATTCTTACTATGTGAAGTTTTTGCTGGGTTTTTCTTAGGTGACCACTGTTGGCTGTATATAAAGCATGAGCTTTTTCAGTTTTAGTCCCTCATTTTCCTCACTACACTGTGGAGGCCTTAAAGATGCAGATTCTGCTCTGTGAATATAAATTCCACATTTGTTTTCATCTTAATTCTATGCTCCATGCTTGCTGCCAATTTTGTAGCTTCTTTAATTGTTTTGATAATCAAACTTCTTCCTGGAGAAGGGCTCATGAGAGCTGAATTTTCTGAAGGCTGACATATTAATTCCTAAATTAATCTTTCCGGGAGGACTCGGTAAAGTCCTGGCTAGTTGTTGCTTTTGGGGAGTCTGAGGCCAGCCACCAACTCTGGAGACCTTGCTTGCCTGCCTGGCTTTGCTGGGGCTGTGCAAGCACAGGTGTCACCCTTTGCGGTCTTTCCACACACCTATTCAACCTTTACCAGATCCAACACCCATCCTGTGGGTGCTGTGGGACTGCTCCCTGCTTGTGGTGAAGATGAAACTTAGAAATCAGTTTCCTACTCTCCTTCCTGTTCCATGGTGTGAGAAGAGAAGAAAGCAACTGAGTCGTTTCCTGGGCCATTACTGTTATACAGCGACCAACCATGACCATCTGTGAACACACAGAAGCAGAGGGCAAAGCGGAAGAAACCCACGTACACATCACTCCGGCAGTTACCAACATGTTGTAAAACTTAGTTTATCTAGATCCACCTAATTTACTTTCTTCTTCCCCCAGAATCAGTCAGTCAGTCAGCCTGTCTGTCTATCTGTCTCCCTCCCTCCTTCCCAGCTCCCATCCTCTGTTTTTGTCTCTCTTCTGAAGTTTATGAAACACAGTCCTATGGGACTTATGAGTCAAAGCTGGCCTGAAACTCGCTCTGTAGTCAAGAATGATGCTGAATTCCTGACCCTCTTGCCTTCTTCTCTACCTCTCAAGTGTTGGGATTACAGGCATGCACTATTGTGCTTCATTTCCCCCAAGGACATCTTTTTTTTTTTTTTTTTTAATTTATTTATTTATTTATTTATTTATTTATTTATTTATTTATTTATTTATTTTTATTATTTTTTTCTTTTTAGTTACATTTTGTTAACTCTGTGTCCCAGCTGTATCCCACTCCCTCATTCCCTCCCCAACCCCACACTCCCTCCCTGGTCTCCTCCCTGCCCCTTTCCAAGTCCACTGATAGGGGAGGACCTCCTCCCCTTTCATCTGACCCTGTTTTATCAGGTATCTTCAGGGCTGGCTGCAAAGTCCTCCTCTGTGGCCTAACAGACTGCTCCTCCCCTGGGGGGGGGGTGTCAAACAGCCTGCCCTTGAGATCCTGTTAGAAATAGTCCGTGTTCCCCTTACTTTGGAAAACTACTTGGTTACTGAGCTACCACGGGCCACATCCGAGCAGAAGTTCTAGGTTATATCCATAGATGGTCCTTGGTTGAGTGTCAGTCTCAGAAAAGACCCTGTGCCCAGATATGTTTGGTCCTTGTAGAGCTCCTATCCTTTCCATATCATACTAACTTCCCTTCTTTCATATGATTCCCTGCACTCTGCTGAGGGTTTGGTTATGAGTCTTAGTGTCTGCTTTGAAACACTGCTAGGTAGAGTCTTTCAGATGCCTTTTGTGGTAGACTCCTGTCATAAGTTCAATGCACATCCCATTTGTCTTTCTAAATGAGGATTAATCACCTTCGCCTGTGTCCACTTTCTTGATTATCTTCTTTAGGTGTATAGATTTCATTATGTTTATCATATCCCCAAGGACATCTTAAAAGACATCTGAACCATCACAACACTTCACCTGAATATCGTTCACACCACATTTGCTACAACACTATAAAAAACGGGGCCTATAGGATTGTACAAATTATCCTAAGTGACTTTATTTTGGTAGGGAATCAGTACATGACTGTTTGTGAATGATTTCTGTTAGATGCTACAGAGCATGAACTGACAGGCCAGCACTTTCTGTAGTTTTATTGGAACACAGGCTCACACATACCCACAGCTGGTTAACCTATGCTCTCTCTAAACAGCAGAATTCAACAGCTGAGTAGCGGTGGGATAGCTGAGTAATTTTAACAGAAATTGCAGGGTCTTAGAAATCTAAAACAGCTATAGTCCAGCCCTGTAAGAAAATCTTAGCTGGTCCTTTCTATAGAGTAAAGTGGATATGGTGTGG